TTGAATCCTTAAAATATGGTTATTCCACTAAGTCTACATTGTGAAAAATAGCACAGATTTACAGATCACGCCGGCAACAGAAAACGGCACTGGGCATAAATGCATTTTGCTTATGCTGACAATGGACTCAGATGAACAACCTAGTGATCCCACTGACAGCAGCAGTAAGTAAAAAAGGCCCCTCCAAGGCTCAAAGAACGGAGTGACAGGTGGCAGCTAGAAGCAATCGAGTCAACTCCTACACTTATCTGAGAATTTTTTTTTATCTCATCCAAGGAAGTGATCGGCAACAAACATCTTATGTTCTGTAAATGCCCACTAATGCATGTGAATATGAGAAACAGTTTCATTCAACAAATTAATTAAGAGTAAACGGAAGTGTTCCTAGGCTGTGTGTGATGAGGGGATCAATGAGGAGAGAAAGGGGTACTTGGTAGTTCCCCACAAAAGAAACCAAGTGATCGGTAACCTGTGGTGCCTCACCAACATGCCTAGGAATTTACCTGATCTGAGCAGATTTTGTGTGGTTCTCAACGTGCTGTTCCAGGGAACATGGCACAAACAGTTCCAGTCATCATGGAAGACGGCCCAAGTACGTGGGCCCCTGCCACCCACACAGGAGACCAAGATGGAGTTCTGGGCTCCTGGCTTTGGCCTGGACCAGTGCTGGTCCTTGCAGCCATTTGGGGAGTGAGCCAACAGATGGAGGATCTCTCTCTCTCTCTCTCTCTCTCTCTCTCTCTGGCATTCTGCCTTTCAGATCAATGGAGGAATCTTTATGTAAGTTAAGTCCTGTTGGCTGCTGTGCTGTTTCCTTGATGTTTAGCATCTCATGGGACACAAGCACAGCGCTTGTGATGGCCTGAAAACCAGGTCACACCATAGGGCCTCTGTGGAATACCCATCCCTGGCCACCCTGATAGGGATTGTGTTGCCATGGGTTCTGAGTTCTGTTTGCCAAATATGACTTATGCGGACCAACCAGACAGACTAGAAAGCTTACACCACTCGCAGCCTCAGCTACTAGCTGGTTATCAAGTGTTCAGCTAGCAACGAGTTCAACAACTGTTGAGTTCTATTTGTTTTCTGAACTTGACTGAAGAAGACGTGGAGCTGCCTGCTTCCTGAAGCCGGTGGGGAGACCGCAGGGTGACCTCTGGCCTAGGTCGGGGTGTTTGCATCGTAGCCAGTTGAAAGTGGCCTGTGATTAGGTGCAGATGCTCTCTCTGGAGAGGAGGCAGCATTCCTTCCTGAGAGATGAACCTATCTCTAACTGAAGGGCTCCTTTGATTTACAGATGCCTGGGGCAATGACCAGAGTAGATAACCACAGAACCACAGAATGCTCATCCCAGAGAGCCCAGCTTTCAAGATCTAGCCTCTGATTTGGCCTGCAGAATGTCACATGCACATCACACGACTGCATGTACTCCAGATCTGAGCTGCATGGGGAGTATTTATAGTTGAGCGTCATAGGGCTCACTTTCTTCAGTTGAAGACTAGGGGCAAATGTGCTTTGCTGCTGCTCCTGCCATAATCTATCTTCCATAATAGATTTTTGGGTTTACCGTTTCTTAGAAATAATTAAAGACTCTGAAACTCTTGAAAACTTGAAGGGCTCTTGGAAAGGGGTTCAGGGTGACCTAGTGGAAACGTGGGTGAAGTCTGATTGGGTGAAGTCTGATTGTGGTCACTTAGGCTCTTCTGTCCATAGGCACTCCCATTATGTTGCCGTGTGCTAGTGTTACCTCTTTATTACACGGCACCTCCCTCTCCCACATATACCTTCAATTTCAGGAGGTCAGTAGCATGGTGAGAAAGCCGTGCTGTTGTGTAAGTTTTCAGGATCTCTTCTCTGTCACTGCTATGAAAAGGCACTGACAGTGTGCAGCACAAAGCCTGACTCTTAGAAAGATCTCAACCAATGTGGCCCCCATTCGGCCCCGGCTAGATCTGTCCTCACCCGGAACACCCCCCAAGGACTTGACTCTGAGGTTCTTCTGGTCAGTTGAGCTAATGTGGTTATGAAATTTCAAGAACTTGCTAGAAGGCTGATTTTTGTGACCTCTGTCAAGCTAATTCCAGCAAAAGCTTTGATGGCTAAAATCACTGTAAAGTGTTTAGTTTTGGGAGGAGGACACGTGAAGATCTAGGGCGTTAATGTGAAAGAATAACCTCACACTGAGCAAGCTTGGGCAGGAAGATTTTTGGGGTGACAGTTATCTGGAGCTCCTTAAATAAAGAAACTTTTTTTTTTTCCTTTGTCACAGATCAGGTACTTCCTCTTGCACCCCCTGCCTGAAGAATGTCTCCCGGAACTTCTGATCTACTAGGGAAAGCCAGGGATCATGGACTATCTAACTCAGGAATTTTTCAAACTTTGATGGGCTTAAAGTTGGAAAGCTTAGAGAAAGTCAGGACCAGGCCTCGCCCCAGCCCCAAGTTCTGATTCTCTGGGTCTCTGAGGGGCCCTGATTTAGAAAACAGTGGACTAGACCAAATGCACATGATTTTAGGTCAGATAAGCAAAAATAAAATCAATTAAGAGAGTAAATAAATTATACAGCTTCCTTCAGAGAGCAGGTCTCTGGAGCTGTGTGCCTTGGGCCTGGTACAGCTGGAGACAGAGTAAAGTGGCTATAAGGACAGACTCCGGTTAAAACTATCGCTCAGCCTCTTTCCAACCTCAAGTCATTGGGCATAGTCCTGAACCTCTCACAGCTTCCCCTTCCTCTCCCATAAAATGGGGTCAGAATACGTAGACTGATCCTTGCCACGGGGTGGGGTCTACAGATATGTCTGCTACTTTAGGATCCAGAAACAGAATTGCGTTCTAGTGTAGGGCGTACAGGAAGCAGAGTGTGCAAGAATAACTCAGTAATGTGAAGAGGCAGTGAGGATTACTCAGAGTTCCTTAAAAACAGGGTCCTTATTTCTCTGACTACCTGTGAGGTAGCTGATATGACAAAGTATAACTGCATCACTGTGAAGTCTTGTAATTCAATGAGCTAGAAATGATGTGCTGGGGAAGCCATATCCTTTACATTTGAAATAAAATCCTTGCTTCACAAGGTCTTTACATACCCAGGTCTTGCAAGACAGGGAGAGGCAAGTGTGCAGAGTCAGGGTCAAAGCACAGGCTCAGGTATCTGTCCCCTCCTACACATGAGCTCTGGGAAGGTTCATTCGCGTCTCTGAGCTGTACGGTGGGGACGATGATGCCTAGGGCTGCTGATCTGACTTCAGAAACTTAGTCTGATGCTTGGTTGGTGCAGATCATCCAGGAGCCACTTTCTTTTTGTTCATGCATGTGTGTGTGTCCAGTTACTAACTCCAGTGCAGTGATGTCATGGGGCTACCGCAAGGTTTCCATAAGATCTTGCGTGCAGGGGCAGGTTAAGCTGCTGCTTGGGACACCTGTATCCCACTCCAGAGTATGGGCTGAGTCTCAGCTACTCCACTTCTGATCCAGTTTCCTCCCAATGCACAAGGGAATGCAGCAGATCATGGCCCAAATACTTGGGCCCTACCTCCCGTGGAGGAGATCTGGGTGGAGCCAGGCTCCTGGTTTTGGCCTGACCCAGCCTCAGCAGTTGCTGCCATTTGGGTGAGTGAAACAGTGGACAGAAGATCACTCTGTCTCTCCTGCTTCTCTCCCAGCCACTGTGCCTTTCAAATAACAAATAAATCTTTTCAAAAGAGATCATGCACACCGTAATCTCAGTCCACTACCTGCGCATGGGTTATTTAACACCTGGGCCCTATAAGGATCCAGGTATCATCAAGCGCACGCTTGGTTTGCAGAGATCGGGGTTAAACTGCTAGCTAGGGGCAGAGGGGGAGCCGGCCACTGGGACAATCCTGTAGCAAAGTTCAGGTTTCCCGGTGGTTCTGTGGAAAGCTTGGCCTGACAGGTCGGAGCACTCGTTAGTGGTCCCAAAGCATGTCAGGAATGCAGGGGGCACAGCATCGGGTCCTTCTGCTCTGTGTTCCTTAATCCACAGGCTTCGTGTCCTAACCTGCTCGGGGCAACAGAGAACCTGCTCATCGCACCATGAAGCAAAGACGGGCACTCGGGGGCAAAAACGAGGCTTGGGCATTCTTCTGACATTCCCCGTTTGTCTTATTTCTTGGTCAGTCTACTGTTAGAAGTGACTGCCATCTGCTCTGTGTGACTGGATCCCTCTGCAATTATTTTGGAATGGAAAACGAAGTCTGAATTTAGATGAGAGGGCAGTTTTTATTCTGATGGATGAGTTCTCTTGCTTTCTACCAAGTCTGAGAAACTGGCTTGAGCCACAGTGAGCTGTGGGCTCCCATCAGTTCTTTGCACTCATCCTTATTTGTACTGGAGTCTGTGCAAAGGATGAGCTAAGCCTGGGGTTCAGTGTCAGTCGGGAGGGGTGAGAAGCAGAGAAAGCGCATGTGTGAAACCAGACAAGGGGAGCAGGTGCTGTGCCGAAGCTGACCGCATTCCACATTCAGGATGGCGAATGGAAGGCAGGGTTGTGGCTTTAACGAACGAGGTGCCTCATACACAGCCCTTAGCACAAGAGAATGTGAAGTAGGGCACGTTTCAGAAGAGGCTACGCCGAAAGCCTTGGGACCCTGTCCCATGGTCATGAAGGTGGGAAGCCATGTGGCAAAGCTCTCACCTCTGGGCCTCTAGGTTATAGGAAAGGTGCCAGGTGGCCACACAGAGCACACAAGTGCACTCATCAGAATTCTGCTTGGGGTGAAGAGTCCCGCTAACCTGCGTATGTTTGACGTTTTGCCCGCGTACGTACATTCTTGTTGGGTTTCCATTTCTCTGGAATCTGCACATGATCCACCCAGCTCCTTGCACACTTTGAATATGAATTAGAAGGGATGTGAACTTTGAAACTGAAGGCCACAGGCTACCCTTGGAGAGCCGGCACTGATGACACAGAACCTCATGCCAATTGTGGAGGACCCATCACCACAAGGACGCGGGGCAGTGAAGGAAGTGTTTGAACTTACCTGCCTCTCGGTCCCTGATACAGTAGTCTGGAGAATTCTCAAAGTACACAAGGTCATTTTTCGTTGGCTTCTTAAACCTCTTGTTAGCCACAGTGAAACCAGTGCCATCCTGGTTCATGACGACCTGGATGGCTCCATTGTACTTCCTCCAGAGGTAATCGCCCGTTTTCCTGAAGTCGGCCATGGCCAGCCAGCATGTCCGCAGAGTACACGAGCCGCTCACACCGTGGCACTTGCACTCTTGTTTCAAGAACCGCTTTACAGCCTGCCAGAGAGGACAGGGGCAAGGTCAGAGGAGGTGGCCCCAGGCCTGTGACACCTGCTACAACTTCCCTTACCACGGAGCAAGCAGGATGCTGGATCCTGGGGCTAATGACTGGGGGACGAGGAGGACGGATCACTTGTTGCTGCCAGTTCTCTTAAGCTACGTGCAGAGAGGAGTAGACCCCTGCTGACTGAAGAGAGGACAGGGCTGAATTGAAGAGGGAGGGAGTGACTTAGAGTATTTCCTAAATAATCAAAGCTTTATCATATCAAAAATGCAGACCCTTTCTCAAACTAACAAAGGAATTGCTAAGTGATCTTTCAATACGCCAGGCACACTCAGTGTCACTGTTGAGGGGTTGCTGTCCCTGTTGAAGGCACTGGGCTGGTGCTCTACACCCACCGTCTTAGTGACCTGAGTCTTCCTAACAGCCCTGTGTTGCCTTAGGCAGCAGATGGTCAGGGAGCATGACTTAGAGAGGTTGTGGCAGCTGTCCAAGGGTGCCTGGCTACTGGCAGATCATGCTGGGTGGCACGCAGAGGCCAGGCAGCCGCCCTGTGGTTGATGTAACATTAGTTATAGAGGCTATACCGCTCAGCTTGGGCCCAGATATTCGGCTTAGAAGACAGGGCTGAATTTGCTGTCCATTCTTAGAGAGGAAGTAGAGGAAAGCCCATCTTGGCTGGCTCCCAACACGGAAGTCTTTCTCCTGGGGGTGTGAGCGCTGTGGACAGAGCAGGGATTGGGGGGAGGGCATCTAGAACTCTCCAGGGGTCCTGCTTTGGATTTGAATGAACCTTGCCCTGACCCCTCTGCCTCTGGCTTGCCTTCATGCAGAAGCACCTGGTGGTCCTCGAATCAATCAGAGCACCCAGGGCCTGGGGAGGGAAGTGAGTGACTGGCCCGGGGTCCAGGGCTGGAATGTGGAACGGCTGGATACACACGTGGATGCTGAAGTCTTTCCCACTCAGTTTGTACAAATGAATGGATTCTGCTCAGAGCACTCTGACCCAAATCTACCCCTTGGTCCCTTTTCATGGTCCACTACTTTCAGAATTGTGTTTTTCCCTCCGCATGGCTAGCATCATCCCTTGTTCAGATCATCTGTTCCCCCAAGTCAGCTAAGTATTAAAAGAGCTTTTGCTAGTACACTGACAGTTAGGGGCAGTGCCCATCAGACACCCAAAGCCACATGAAGCAACCAAGGGCCATGCTGCAGGCCACTGACCTCAGAGATCTCACTGGACTGCGGCTTTGAACCTTGGCTCAGTAACAGGACAGGGAAAAGCCTGCCTGTCAAGGCCTCCATCATCTTGATTTGTGTCCCCCAGTCAGGGGGGTCTCTGGGATGAGGGTGGACAGCTCAGCAAACCCCCTAGATGACAGACATTCTCCAAAGTGCTGCTCTGACCAAAATTCTTAGGGCAACTTTTTTTTTTTTTTTTTTGACAGGCAGAGTGGATAGTGAGGGAGAGAGACAGAGAGAAAGGTCTTCCTTTTTGCCGTTGGTTCACCCTCCAATGGCCGCCACGGCTGGTGTGCTGCAGCCGGCACACCATGCTGATCCGAAGGCAGGAGCCAGGTGCTTCTCCTGGTCTCCCATGGGGTGCAGGGCCCAAGCACTTGGGCCATCCTCCACTGCCTTCCTGAGCCACAGCAGAGAGCTAGCCTGGAAGAGAGACAACCGGGAAAGAATCCAGCGCCCCGACTGGGACTAGAACCCGGTGTGCCGGCACCGCTAGGTGGAGGATTAGCCTAGTGAGCTGCGGCACCAGCCAGGGCAACTTTTTTTTTTTTTTTTTTTAATTGAAGGTGGGAGATTCAACTCTGCTCATTCTCTGAGCTGCTGCTGTACTTGGCCTGGATGTGGGCTACATGGCCTGAGCATACAGCCAGAGGGAGCTCCCCGCAGCTTCTGTGCCCACCCCTTGCCCTGCCAGGGCACACACAGACACTGGTGTTCCAGCTGCCTCCCCAGTGGCCTGCCCCCTGGTGGTTTTGCCCTGGTGCTCCACCTGGTCTTGCCTCTTACGCAGGCTCTAGTTTCTGTCTGAGTCTGTACTAGAACCAGGGGTACAGAGGTGTTCTTCATTCCAGAATGTCAGTTGCAATGGGTCCCCGTGCCTGGAAATGTGTCAGAAGTATTCAAGAGCTGAAGGGGCAAGGATGGCCACGACCTCATGGTGGCCTTCTGTGTACTCAGGGGAACGCATGCACAGTCCTCCCAGGCCCGGCCTTGGTGCCGGCTTTGCTTCTTAGAGCGGACTCTGTTATATTCGAAATCTGTCCTCTTCAGCAAGGGCAAGGAGAGAGAAGCAAGCAGGAAGAAGTCTCCCACTCACAGCACCCCAGGATCTTCAAAGGATGTCTTATGTCGTAGAACAAAGTCCTCCCAGGAACAGCACTCCGCTATGTGCTCACCTCCTCTAGGCTTTCTATGCCAAGTGTTTGGGCAGAGAGGATGCGTGGGAGCACAGGCCTCTGGCACAGCCACGGCACTAGCAGGGGCATCTTGGTTCCCCACTGGGCCCCCCACAGGCCCCTCCTGAGGGCTGTGGCAGCCCCATTCAGAACTGACACCATCCTAAGTGTGCTAAGTGCTTGGCAGCTCCTCATGTGTGCTCCCTCTTCTAAGCATATTCTTGCTAAAGCTGTTATTTACACGTAAGTCATACCCCCAGCTTTAAAAGTCCCAGGAGAAGTGGGCATCTGGCCTGCCAGTTAAGACACCAGCTGTGATGCCTACAATCCCACAGCAGAGTGCCTGGGTTTGAGCCTTGGCTCCAGCTCCAACTCCCTGTCAGTGCACATCCTGGGACACAGCAGTGATAGCTCAAGTACTCCAGTTCCTGCCACGCACATGACCTAGACTGAGTTCCTAGCTCCTGGCTTTAGCCTGGGCTAGTGGATGTGGATTCGATCTCTCTCTCTCTCTCTCTCTCAAATAAATAAATAAATAAAATTTTTAAATGACAGGAAATATTACTGAACTCTCTTCGTCATGCTAAGTTTCCATGTTATAAACTTCAAAGCTGACATTTTAACATGAAAATACTGATTTGAAAATGACTCTTCTAAATAGGCCTTATAAATCCTTACAAACACGTGTGGTGGCGACAGATGCTGTTGATCATGTGTGTAGCCACCATTTCCTGCCTTTCCTACCAACAGCTATGTTCAGGTGTTGGGCAGCAGAGAGGTCAAGCTTCTCTCTGACCTCACAGTGGCCTAAATGAATAATAGTAATCTCACTCTCCCACCATTGAATTTCTTCAGCATGGGGCAAGTGGTAATTCAATTTGGGCTGATACGATATTAGGAGAAATCAACCTGCAAGCTTGGAAGAAAGGTTTCTTTACTCTTTAAAATAGATAATTAAGGGAAAAGGTATTTGGCCTGGCAGGTTAAGACACCTGCATCCCATATTGGAGAACCTGGGTTTGAGTCCCATTTCCACTCCCAACACTGTGGGAGGCAGCTGAAGACAGCTCAAGTAGTTGAGTCCCTGACACCCATGGAGAGACCTTGATGCTTGGCTTTGGCCTTGCCCAGCCCTGTCCTGTTAACTCCTTGGGGAGTTAACCAGCAGATGGAAGCTCTCTCTCTCTTTGCCTCTCACATAAATCAACTGCTAAAATTGGAGGGGATAGGGTTGGTGCTGTGGCGCAGCAGGTTAAAGCCCCAGCCTGCAATGCCAGCATCTATTATGGGTGCCAATCTGAGTGCTGGCTGCTCCACTTCCAATCCAGATCACTATTAATGTGCCTGGGAAAGCAGTAGAAGATGGCCCAAGTCCTTGGGCCCCTGCACCCACGTGAGAGACCTGGAGGAAGCTTCTGGCTCCTGGATTCGGATCAGCACAGCTCCAGCAGTTGCAGCCATTAGAGAAGTGAACCAGAAGATAGAAGACCTCTCTCTCTCTCTCTCTCTGTCTCTACTTCTCTCTAACTCTGTCTTTCAAATAAGTAAATCTTTAAAAAAATTAAATTGGGGGATACATGAGAGACACAAAAGGACAAATATCTTTTCTCTGTCTGAGGTGCTATGTTTTGCAGTAGTGACTGCAGGCCAGGAGGGCAGTTTGGTGCAGAATCAAAATTCAGCTGCAGATGAAGTGTTGGGCGATGCAGGAACCCAGGCTCTGGAGGGTACAGTGGTGCTGCTGCTGATGGAGCACACTTTGGACCCGCCCTCCCTTATTACCGAGTGCTCTGAAACTGTAACTGAACCATTGCAACCGGTTATCACAGTCGGGTCTTGACTATAGATCCGTTACAGGCCTTATCTGACCGTTAACCTTGGGAGAGAGGGAACTATCCTCCCTGCCCCTGGCTTGGCTCATGTCCCCTGCCCGGGTTGTTAACACACGACTGGCTCGTGCTCAGTTACACACAGGGATGACCTCCACCTGTTCTGTTGGTTGGATGTGCAGACTTGAACTTCACCCTGAAGCAGAAAAAACCCTACTCAGAGATCAAGGGGAAGGTGGCCCCTTTTGGAAGCGTAGTATAGGTATGATTTGGGACTGAGACGCTGCCAACTGGGCATCCTAGCTTAGAGCAAGCCCAATATTCAGATGCTATGAGAACACTCTAACGGTAACAACCATTTATAAAGCCTTTCACGGGTGCAGGATGCACACTCGGTGGTTTGTTTACCTGTTGTCTTATACAATTGTCACAGTGAGGGGAAGCAAGCTGTTGTCTCCATTCTAACATGCTGAAAACCTGGGCCCAGGGAGGGGAGGAGGAAGCTCCCAGGAGTCACTCAGCTGGACCGCGGCAGCACTGGATGTAACTCCAGTTCTGTGCTCTTTGTAAAAGCATACTTAACATCTTAATTTGCATGGTGATTTTCTGAAAGTTTGAATTATGCATACTCTACTTCTCTCCATTCTCATGAATAATCAAGAATTGACTGGATAATCTAACAGCCTGGTTACAATGGGAGGAGGGGAAGAGCAGAAAGACAAACAGCAGGGATTACACTGTTTTCCAAAC